GCCAAACAAATACTGCTTTTTCCCAGTAGCATCATATGAAAGTCTCCTTATTAGTCTCAATTATATTTACTTGTAGAGATGCGTTTCATTAAATCCTAAAAAATGTAGGCATTTGCTACCTGGCGATGGTTCTTCGCAGGGGTTCTTAGGCCTGGGCAGGGAGGTGTAGACCAGGTCAGGGTGTGCAGACAGGACTCCAGAAGAGCTTCCATCAGAGCTCTTCACTCAGGGCCTCCAGCTTGGGACCCCGGCCCTGGGTGAGTATGGACAAACAAAGTTTGTTAAAGGCCACCATGTCATGCGTTTCCGTTATTACCCGGTCCCTTGTGTTGTTAATGAAGGGTTTTTCTGCATCGTAAACGGTCTGCAGAGTCACAAACCCTCAAAGTACACCCTGTACGCGAGTAAAACTCTAACACAGAAAAGGGACCCTGTCTATGCTGCCCCAGAAGCGCCTCGTTGAGATTTCTCTTTTTCCATTGTTTACTTCTGTATAATGTAGTTTAGTAATTACAGTGTACGTATTGGGGTATAGTGACGTAACGTCTCTAATCTCTATACCCAATTAGAATACAAACACACTCCAATCTTTTCCCAGCTGCAGCTCCGCAGATTTCTCAGCCTGAACTCAGCCTGAGACAGCGAGACGCGCGGGCTCGCCTGGCTTGTTATGAGCACCACACGCAGACTCACACCCAGCTGCCAGGTGTGTGTGTGAGAAGTCCGTTTCAGCTGTTTTCGCTGTGTCTCGCAGATCCCCCGCAGCAAGCCAGCTCACACTGTCGCGCTCCAGCACCGAGCCCCGCAATGTCCCACCAACACGCACCCAGACCCCACGCAGCATTCTCATCTGCTTGGTCATTTACTGGTGTCCATTTTCTTGGTTTGCTAATGCCATTGGAACACATAATCACTGATGTTCCGCATGTAACGTGCTGGGACTCATCAGAACAGAGTGAAAGCGAGCTGACCAATCAGAGCACAGTGGCTCAACGGGAAGGGAGGGGGGGCAGGAGCTCCAACAAGCCCGTTTAGGACAGAGTGGAATACCACATACTATCAGAGATGCTGTATGAGAAACCAATGTAAGTTTGGAAAATTGCACAATGTAAATCTATTCTAGTAGACCTCAACAATGGAATTATGATCAGTAGAAATGGCCATGACATGGGACCTTTAAGCTAAATTCTTGAAATCTAAGTTATTTTGCACTTTTATTTCAAATCAAATCAAGTTTTATTTATATAGCACATTTTTAAACGATTTTTGGTCGAGCCAAAGTGCTGTACATATGATAAAAATAGCCTACAGTAAAGACACTTTACAGCAAATACAACAGCAGTTTGTTCAGAATATCAGTATGAGAAAACGGCACCCTCTGTCCTTAGACCCTCACATCGTACAATGAAAAACTTCTGGAGAAAACCCACAGTTCAAAGGGGAACATGGGAGAAACCTCAGGGAAAGCAACAGAGGAGGGATCCCTCTCCCAGGACGGACAGACGTGCAATAGATGCCGTGTGTAAGTCGAAAAGATAATACATTTGCAACATAGGTAGACTAAATGTTTGGAAAGGCATGTGTCTATAATAAGAAGATGAATCCACGAGGATGTCAACAATCCTGTGGGAGCCATCAGGGAAGCAGCATGACGAGACCCAGGCAGGACCGCAGAGACAGGCAGACATTTATCTTGCATTCATGTTGAAGATTACATTTCTCTGTAAACCAACCTTTATAACAAGCTGGATCTGCTGCACCGGCTCCGTCAGCTCGAGGCAGGACTGCAGGGTCTGTGCCACCTCCCGGACTCCATCCTCTCCTCCGCCCACAGAGAGGGATGCTGGAAAAACCACAAAGAATACAAATTAACCCAATTACATTTATATTAGTAATAAATACTCCTTATGTGCACATGAATAAACACATGTGTATACAACTCAATGCATTTGTTTTCCATATGTAGTAGTTTTTCTAATTATTAAAAACATATTTGAACTATTATTGTCTGTATTTATGTGTGTATTTACAAAGAAAAGCTATTTTTTATTTTTTAAATAGTTTCCTCTACATATAGTTTTATAGTATTAATTTGTCATCATTTATTTGCTTGAATAAATGATAACGTAACATTTTCAGTCTTTTTTTTAAAATTAAATATATCTTAACAAACTATGAAGGAGTGTATGGTACACACACCTGTGCTCTACTTCAGTCCTTTGGTCACATTACCTATCAGCTTGTGTAGTTTCTCCTCATCCAAAACTACAGCCTCTACTTTGGGGCTCTTCCTCTTCTTCACCACCATGGCTGTTCCCTGTGTGAAGTGAGGAGCAATAATAGTTCATTCATTCACATGACTGTTTATCCAAAAAATATGCAATTTACAAAAGTTAGAACTCCACCATGTCAGTCTATTTGTTCAGTCTCTCTATTTGTCTCTCACACTCTCACACACTCACACACACAGACACACACACACACACACACACACACACACACACACACACACACACACACACACACACACACACACTTGTGGACACGTTACGCGGTCGTTGTATATTTTTACTTTACCTTGGTTAAATGTAATATTACTGTATGCTAGGACTAATGTTAGCCAGCAGTTATTGCTAGCTATAGCACTGAGTCTACGTCCGAAATTAAAAAGCGAGACACAAGTACACAACACTCACACGGTAAAACAAGGAAACGCTCACAAAGAAAAGAAAAGGAAAACTATATACAAGTTATTTGTTTAGGTAGCTAGCATGTACCTCAATTCAGCATAAGGTTTACTTGGTTTCAGCTGGTAGGAAACTCAAATTCATGTAAAGTCACTTCCGGTAATGATTTTCAGAATAAAACTTAATTTAAAACATGCCTAATAATAACAAATTCAATTACAATGTATATGGAACTTTTTGAGTTTCTCTATTCTTAATTGAATTACATGACCAAAATACATTGTGTTGTGCGACATTAGCCGCTGTTTCAACTACTTGAGTATCATGCAACTTTACATTTGAAGCCACACTTTTAGCTTCCTGTATTGTTATTAGAAGCTTGACTAATCCATGGTCCATGCTGCACATGTGAGACGTCACTTCCGACAAAATCGTTACACGCCGCTCTCAGAAGTTTGTCTGTCCATAAAATAGCGCTCCAGCTATTCATTGGTGGAAACCACACGTCAATATAACCCATACTTCGTTGTTGTACACTGCTGAGAAAACGCCTACCAAAAATATAATTGGATGTAATTGTGCGAAACCCCGCCCTCTACATCCAACCCGTCTCCAACTTTTGCCTGAGCTTGAAATGAAATTCTTTGGGCACGAGAGAAATTCACCGTTTTACTCATGAATTAAGACTTTCACAACAGGAATAACAAGAAATGTGTTGATGCTGGAGTCGACATGGCGTGAAGTCCTTTGAGTAGTAAACATCCATCAAATATTCTCAAAGGTAAGTCGAGAATTTGGAAGAAAATTGCAGTGTTTTAATTTAGTTATAATAGGAAACGACAGAAAGTTCTTTGGCAGTCTTTTTGCTGAGTTTAGTTTAAACGGTGATTTTAGCAATTCATCTTTCTCGGAAATCCGCTATTTGAAATATTTGAAATTATGAATAGACACAATGTCCCTACGGTTTGCCATTACTCACAAATTCACTGTAGGCCTATATGAAAAAAGAAACAAATATGCAATTTGCGCCTGTTGCTTGCTGGTGTTCACTCAAAAAATGAAGACCCCAAAGTACGGTTTTATGGTAAATTAAATTCAAAAAAGATACATGAGCTATAATGTGTCATAGTCTGTGTACATTATATTTAAAGTACCACAAACGATTTGAAGTTACAGTTTTTAGTCAGAGTTACTCACTGTTATTGTATTAATCCATAAATAAAAGTTTTACAAAATTCACAAACACTTTTTAATGCATATTAACCCAATGTTTAGGGTGCTTTTTATTCCAGTCTGTACTTTTTAATCCCAGTTAGGGCTTTTTATGGCTCGATACATCATTATTCAAGCCAAAAATACCAGGGAATCACTCTAAGAGCTGATGAATGCTCCACTATCTCATTACACTGACACAGGCTTTACTCAACAGGAAGTGAGACAGAGAGGGAGACAAAAAGAAACTCAGAGTCAGGGTTCAGGGGTTAAATTGCCTTTCATGTTTTCCACCACCCACATCCTTTCATTATCATCGTTAAATACTGCTTGGATACAAACAATTATATATGTCCTCAATTATAGAAAATGTATCCTAACATGATCGTCTTTAATACTATAAGACATGTATTTGGCAGTACATTTAATTGAATCAACTTCTCAACTGAATCACAGCAATATCAAGGAATAAAAGAAAGGAAAAGTTGATTGTAACAATGGCACTTTTTGTTGCATAATTAGGAAAAAATTACTATGATTTCGATGATTTTTTTAATCTTTTAACAATAAACTAGATTATAAACATGCTGAGAGAATCATGTGATTCTTTAAATTACATATTATTATTTGTTTGAATTGATATGTATAATACAAACCAGATACCACAATTCCTCAGTCATATCGCTCTGTTGATCTGCATGCAGTATATAATATATTATAGTCATTTCTTTTTGTTTTGTTCTGTGGGATCAGGGCTCTTTTTTCCCTTGCCTTATTCAGTGTTTACCACAGCAAACAGGCGGCAGAAATAGGCCTGTGGAAAGCAGTTTATTGCCGTCCTCCACACATGTTTGCAGTCTCTTTGTGCGGAGGCCAGGCTGGTAATGAGAGGTTATTACTTGGAAGAGAAACCCGGGCTTTCTTTCTTCCTCCTCCATCAGAGATCCTCATCTGACTCTCTGTATGTACAACTGTTTTCCTATGATAGCGTCTGGAAAACATGATGCAAGTCCCAGGGAGGGCGTCAAGGTGTTTTGTTTGGCTAAGCTAAATGATACGCCCACTGCCCACACTGGTCCAGCTGGGCTCTGCACTGGAACATTTCAGGTGCTGCCTAGTGGCAAAACATCTGCACAACACACCCTCTCTGTCTGTTTGTCTGTCTCTTTACACATGTTTGTGGGGATATATTAAAGTTTGAGATGTGTGGTAAATGGATTTGCAAGTAGAGATGGACATAATGACATTGTATCTTGGATTAATAAACGCTCGCAAAAGCTTAATTGTGGTGAATTTCCATTGTTGGCAATTGATGAATATTCGGAAGTAGCCATCTTGAAAAAGCTGTCATGGTAGAATAGTGAAAACATAGCCTGATTAGACTCCCACTATTTGAGAGAAAACATAATTCCTTCTCGGGGCCAGTATCATTTATGATTACAAATTCCACAAAAAAGGGCTATTGGAAGAGTTAAACGTATATTTAGATTATAATCAGGATAATATCATCAGTGCAAAATGAAAAGGACATTTTCAGATCTGTCATTTAGGAAATCAGATATGGTTCAGTTACTTTTTACCGTTTGATTGATCTCATAATATTTAAAGAACTGACGAATGCAGCATATCGTGCCTAATGCAATATTGACATTAGTGAGCATCAACCCTGTTTTCGAGAAACTCTGACATAAATGAAGTTCTTGGGAAAACACAATTTTTATGAAGAACTTTTGGAACTAAATTGTTAATTGACCTCTCTGCTATCAACAACATTACAGAAATAACATGCCCAAAAAGATCCAAACTTTAGTTTCCAGGTCAGCAATCGTCTGCTGCCCTTGAGAAAAACACTTAACCCACGTATGGTGTTCGGGTCTGTGGAACCCGTTTTCATTATTTAGCTAAAGAAAAATGATATGATAAATTATTTTTTTAAACCCACACTCAATGGCCTTGGCTCATTTTCTGTGATGAACATATATCAGAACATATTTTCAATGACCACCCACTGTACCCCCCCTACACATTTACATTACATACAGGGTGTTCGCTAACAAAAATGTGGAAATTGTAGACCTGTCTGGGCCTTGTGTGTGTGTGTGTGTGTGTGTGTGTGTGTGTGTGTGTGTGTGTGTGTGTGTGTGTGTGTGTGTGTGTGTGTGTGTGTGTGTGTGTGTGTGTGTGTGTGTGTGTGTGTGTGTGTGTGT